TTAACGCAACTGTTATCTAGAAGGAGGTTTCGGCCAGGTGCAGTGGCTCACACCTGTAATCCCAGCACTTTGGGAGGCCAAGGCAGGCGGATCATGAGGTCAGGAGATCGAGACCATCCTGGCTAACACGGTGAAACCCTGTCTCTACTAAAAATACAAAAATTAGCCGGGCGTGGTGGTGGGTGCCTGTAGTCCCAGCAACTCAGGAGGCTGAGGGAGGAGAACTGCATGAACCCGGGAGGCGGAGGTTGCAGTGAGCCGAGACAGCACCACTGCACTCCAGCCTGGGCAACAGAGTGAGACTCCATCTCAGAAGAAAAAAAAAAAGAAGAAGGAGGTTTCAGCATCACAGAGCCGCGTCTCTGCAGAATGGACACGTGTTTCACTCATGCTGCAGTGCTAGGAGACAGCCACGTTAGCAATCCATACCCCATCTGCATGAGAAAGCCTGGGTTCAGCGTTTCCAACCCTAGATGTGCAGCTGGAACCACTGATTACATTGTCCCTGAGGCAGCAGGCACCAGCCTTCGAGGGGCTACTTTGATGAATTCTGCTAGTATATTTCCCTTGAAATGGACCCAAATTATACCCTAGCCCAGTATGAAAAGGCACTGCTTTAGAACAACCCATTATTTTTCATTATTCATCATTCTTTCATCAGCTTGGAGCTCCAAGCTTGTCTCTAGGCTGTCAGGCCTCTTCCAAGCCAGCATCAGACCCCTATCACTGAAATCAGTGCCCAATGGGCTTTTGATGGACGAAATTCCAGTTATAAGTGACAAAAAACGATGTGGCATCCAAGCCTCTTCTTTTTTTTTTTTTTTTCCAGAGGTGAGGTCTTGCTCTGTCGCCCAGGTTAGAGTGGTGCAGTGGTGTAGTGGTGTGATCACGGCTCAATGCAACTTCAACTTCCTAGTACGAGTGTTCCTCCCACCTCAGCCTCCAGGGTAGCTGGGATGACAGGCATGTCACAGCATTCCCGGGTAATTTTTTAAATTATTATTTTGGTAGAGACAGGGTCTTGCTTTGTTACCCAGGCTGGTCTCAAACTTCTGGCCTCAAGCAGTATTCCCACCTCAGCTTCCCAAAGTGCTGGGATTACAGGTGTGAGCCACTGCACCCTGCCTCTCTTATTTTTATTTTATTTATTTATTTATTTATTTTTTAGACAGAGTCTCATTCTGTTGCCCAGGCTGGAGTGCAGTGGCATGATCTTGACTCATTACAACCTCTGCCTCCCGGGTTCAAGCAATTCTCCTGCCTCAGCCTCCTGAGTAGCTGGGACAATAGGCACCCACCACCACGCCCGGCTAATTTTTTTGTATTTAGTGGAGGCTGGGTTTCACCATGTTGGTCAGGCTGATTTCGAGCTCCTAACCTCAGATGATCACCCACCTCGGCCTCCCAAAGTGCTGGGATTACAGGCATGAGCCACTGCACCCGGCCCTGCCTCTCTTCTTTTAAACCCATATGTAACTACCTGGAACCAGCAGCTGGAGGACCAGCAGGCCTGGCCCTTGTGATGCCAGCGGGCAGAGCCCTCTGCTCCAGGCTGATGACACCATCTGCCACCTCCCCCACAGGGCTGGAGAAGCAGCTGGAGCCGTGGCTGAGTCACTGTTGGAGCAGCTCAGTGCCACCTTTGTTGCAACTGATTTCACTGCATTGACAAACATCCCCCGACAGAAAATGAACCTCGCTGAGTTTTCCTGTCCAACTGGTCAATTCATTAACTCAGGGCATTAGGAAGCTAATCCGCCCTGGTAGACTCAAAGCCACTGTTCGAGTCAAAACCCCACATTCTAAGGGCTCTTACAGGGTTGGGGCCATAGGTTAGAACCATGCACCTTTTCACTTTTCGTCGACAGTGGTATCGTTTGTGGGATGTGGCCATGATTGGGAGGCAGCCGAAGAGCGAGGAGGTCTCATCCGCAAGCACAACTCCCAGGCCTGTGAGTGGCTCAGCACGGTCACCCAGGCTTCCCCAGCACCTGCCCAGCGATCCTGGCAGCCCAACAGGGTCCCACTCTCAGGGGGGCAGGCAGGCGCCTCCCGGGCCACACGGGGTTTCTAAGGGACAAGCTTCTCGGGCAGCCGTGCTTTGGGCACTGTAGCATCTGCCCAGCATCCTGGATGGTGGCTGGAAATGATATCCTGGAGAAATAACTTCCTCAAAGGGAAATGAGTTTGTGTTTTCTAGAGTGAAAGTTCCTCTCCAGACAAAGCTGAGACCTGCACTGGCTTTGAGTGACTAAATGTCTTGCTGGGAGGCTTTGACTCACTGGGTAACGTGGAATGAGCAGTGCCTTAGGCTGCAGGACTTCTCCGGCATCATCCCGGAATCAGCCTGTGCTTCCCCACATCGCAGAGCGCACCTGCAGTGCCCGTTCCGTTCCTTCCGGTCTGTGCATCCTCCCCTTCCCTTCCTGGTCCCACTGGCAGCCTGCCACCTATGCCAGGACAAACAGCTGCATAAGGATGCCCTTTCCTGTTGCCATCCAGGGCAGAGCTCACCGTCTTCTCGGTACTGCTGCAGACACCAGCCACACATGTGCAGACGTGCATGGCTGTTTGCGGACCTGTCTTCCCACCGTTCAGAGAACAAAAACCCGGGGAACTCACTGCAAGAGTTGTTCGTGGGCTTCAATTCCTGGACCTGGCACCTGGCACACTGTAGGTGCACAAGCAAATACCTGAGTGAACGAATGGATGTCACCCCTTTGGGGATCACGTGGAAACCCCGGAAGTGAAGGTCTTAGTTTGGTCCCATCCAGCTGAAAACAGGTGTAAATAATGTAGGCTAAGCCCAGTTGAGAGAAAATCTGCAGCTTAGTTGGTCCTTTGTTGAGCTAGATTCAGCTGAGTCAGGAAACCCTTCGTGATGGCAAGATAGGCCCGGGGCAAGCTGGGCCGCACAACTCACCCTCTCAACACAGACCTTGGATGTTGAAAGTGAATACAGTGCACTGTCCTCACAACGGCAGAAAGGAGGGGAACAGAATCGGGACCACCTGTACTAGCCTTACAACTTCCTGTGAATTTACATTTCAACGTAAAAGGTTACAATGTACAGCGAGGATCTGTGGAAGCCTTGGGGAGGCAGGTGTCAGTTCCATGACAGCCTTTCTGACAAAGCCGTCTGAAAATGGAATAGGGGTGCTTTAAAGACAGCCCTCCCTCCCTAGAGTCAGACAGCCGACCACAGCCACCCCCACAAGCTGACAGTGTCCTTCATTAGTGAGGGCCCAGGCTGCCTGGGTTCCAATCCCAGCCCTAAAAGTTACTTATTCTACTGTCTTGGATGAGTTATTTCATTTCTGCATTAAAAAATGGTAGCTACGACTGGGCGCGGTGGCTCGAGCCTGTAATCCTAGCACTTTGGGAGGCCGAGACAGGCGGATCACGAGGTCAGGAGATCGAGACCATCCTGGCTGACATGGTGAAACCCTGTCTCTACTAAAAAATACAAAAAACTAGCCAGGCGAGGTGGCGGGCGCCTGTAGTCCCAGCTACTTGGGAGGCTGAGGCAGGAGAATGGCGTAAACCCGGGAGGCGGAGCTTGCAGTGAGCTGAGATCCGGCCACTGCACTCCAGCCTGGGCGACAGAGCGAGACTCCGTCTCAAAAAAAAATAGGCTGGGCGCGGTGGCTCGAGCCTGTAATCCTAGCACTTTGGGAGGCCGAGACAGGCGGATCACGAGGTCAGGAGATCGAGACCATCCTGGCTGACATGGTGAAACCCCGTCTCTACTAAAAAATACAAAAAACTAGCCAGGCGAGGTGGCGGGCGCCTGTAGTCCCAGCTACTTGGGAGGCTGAGGCAGGAGAATGGCATAAACCCGGGAGTTGGAGCTTGCAGTGAGCTGAGATCCAGCCACTGTACCCCAGGCTGGGCGACAGAGAAAGACTCCGTCTCAAAAAAAAAAAAAAAAAAGGTAGCTAGGCCAGGCACAGTGGCTCCCGGCCATAATACCAACAATCCCAATGCTGAAGCAGGACAATCACTTGAGCCCAGGAGTTTGAGACCAGCCTGGGCAACAAAGTGAGATCCCATCTAAACAAAACAAAATTTTTCAATTAGCCGGGTGTGACGGCCTGCACCTGTAGTCCCAGCTATTTGGGAGGCTGAGGTGGGAGGTTCACCTGAACGCAACAATTTGAGGTTGTGGTGAGCTTTGTTCATTCCACTGCATTCCAGCCTGGGAGGGCAAGGCCTTGTCTCCAGGGGGAAAAAAAAAGTAGATAAAACCACATTAGACTTTATTGGCAATTGTGTTATTCTTTCCACATGGCAACAGCCTGCAGTGGGGGCTCCAGTTTGGCTTGCTGGTCTCTTCTGGTGGCAGGCACTGCTGTCTCTACCTTCCAGGGTGGCAGTTGGCCCGAAGGGCTCTAACTTGCCATTGGACCTTCACCCACAGCCCAGAAGCCTCCATTCACAACCCTTCCCACACTCCACTCTGACTTAGAGAACCTGGAAAACGGACACATGGACACGAATCTGAAAGAAAGTCTGAGTGGTTGCCCTCAGACAAGGGCCTACGGCTTTATTAACAGATGTTGAGGAAGCTTTCAGGAGCTGGCAGCCATGAGGGTCTGGTTTTAAGAATGGCCTTTAAGGAAAAGCCATAGCAGGCGGGCTGAGAGGGGTGGCTCCCGCTCAGCCCCGCCCCCAGCACAGGCTGACAGAAGCTGAGATCCACATCACCGCCTGGCGTGCAAAGGAGCTGAAGACAAAACCATTTTTTCCAGCTTCTCTACAAAGTCAATTTATAAGCAAGTTATTAAAGTGAAGCATCCATTTATAGACTGGTACAAATATCAAAAATAAGCAGCTTAGATGAGTAGAGGCTGGAGTGCATTTTCTGCTAACAAAAAACACTGTGATATTCTCCAAGTTTAGAGGGAAAAGTCTGAGGCCGACTCAGATGTGGCAGAAATAAGTGGGTCTGAAGTGCATTTTCAGTTGTTTCTACCCGGAAGGAGCCGGGATGATACAAACAGGTCTGGGGTTCGTGGCTCTGGTGAGCGCCCAGACAACTGCGTCTCTGCTAGGATGCTCGTCCTCACTGCGGCTATCTGGGCAGATGGCTGTTGGCAGGGTAGGGACGACGATGAAAAACTGACAATATTTTAAAAACCCAGTAGGGTCCACAGCAGTGTTTGAAATGACAGGCTTTTTATTTCTCAGGAACAGCCGAGATGACCTCCAGAGGTTTCCAACGAAGCTGTAACAATCTGCCCTGCAGTTCTGTGACAGGGAGGAGGGCGAATCCAATCCATCATCTTACGCCAGACTTCAGCCCTGCGGGAGCTGCTGCTGCCAAAGAAAGCGGGGACCTGGGCGGACTGCATCCCTCCCCCGTGTGGAGAACGTGACAGATGTGAAGGTCGGGCTGACAGACACACGGCCTGCAGCAGCCCAGCCAGTCCCACACAGCATCGAGCCAAGTCATTTAAAAAGGATTCAGGCCACTGCCTTTTTCTCAGGGAGGAGCAGCCAGCATGTGCCCCGCAGCTCACTGGGCCTGTCTAATCACACAGCAGTGGCAAAAGGAGTATCTGCCAGACGCTTCCTATCACTCTATTCTGTCTCCAAGTCCACCTGAAGTTCACCCCGTTTCCCCAATGACTTAGAATGGCTTTGTGCTTAGTTTTAATTGTAGTTTGTGCTATTCTGTGAATTAACAATTCAAACAAAATAAGAAAGACACGTTGTGAAACAGTAGAGGAGCTGGAGACTCTGTCTCCATTCCCCTCCTCATCACACACAAGTCATGCATCTACCAAAAAAAAAAAAAAAAAGTGGCCTCTGAGGCAGCACAGGCGTGACAGATGAGGAATCTGCAGCTCAGATTCAACAGGCACCTGCCAAGTCCACACTCAGGACTGTGTGACAGCCTCAACAACATGAGGTCCAGACACATTCACTGTGGAAGGCTCTGCCCAAGTGAACAAAGCCATCAGCTCTAGCAAAACGGACACCGCCTTCTTCCTCCCCCACTTCTCACCTGGTAAGTCCGGGAATTAAGAAGACAAAAATGAGCCAAAAAAAAAAAAAGAGAGAGAGAGAGAGGCAGTCACTGTTATCAGCAGCACCCGTTGCACAGGTAGAAGCACCTCTGGTGCCACTTTCAAGACAAAACAAGATACAGCTGAAATATCTAAGTGGGAAATATTGATCTTCTCCTTTCCCAAGGCATTGCTAAGGGTCCCCCAGGAAGGTTGGTGGCACCAGGGAATAAACCCTGGAAGTGGTGCAACCACTCTGGGACCAGGCAGCTCCAGTCAGAGGCCTCAGTCCATGGCAGCCAGCTGCTCGATGGCACAGCGCACTTTCTTCGCAGTTTCCTCAAATTCTTTCTTCTTATTGTTGGTTTCCTTTGCCTGGAAATAAAGAATAGACACAGGACACTGAAACCAGAGCTTCCCAGTCACATCCTGTAGATAAGAAGACAAAGGAAAAAACAATCAGGGAACACTGATAGGGCACCTAAATCAACTGGGCACTGGGCTGGGGCAGATTCCCAGCTACCTGGGACAAACATCCTGATTCAGATCAACTCCTCTAGTTTAAGCTGCCTCCTAATCATCGAATAACAGAAAACATGGACAGAGCGCTTGGTGTGCACCCAGCACCATTCTACTGGCTTCACTCCATTGACTGATTTATGCTCAGTGACCCTGCAGTAGGTGCTCCCATCTCTCTACTATACAGATGAGGAAACCGAAGTCCAGCCTGAAGCAGCCACTCTAAATACCCAGCTAGTCTAGGTATCTAGCTAGTCTAGGCAGAGCTCTGCTCTTAACCACCGCCCTAGCTTTCTCCTGAAACTCCTGGAGGGAAGTCCAGAGCCTTCCTCTTCACGTCCAGTTAAACAGATCCTGGCAAACATCAGGCTCTTCCTCAAACAGAAATTCTTTTTGCTTCCAGTCCCTCCCTGAATCTGGCCTCCAATTTTTTCATTCTGCTAACGGAGCTCTCTCCTAAAGGGCAAATGACAATCACATTAGCAAATCCAGGGACCCCCTTCCCTATCATATTTTTTATTCACCCTAACTCCTCTGCTACATTAAAAAACAAAAACCTTTATTGGGTTAAATTTGTTTTCTGATAGAGGTTACCTTAAAAAAATTACTTTACTTTTTTGAGACAGACTTTTGCTTTTGTTGCCCAGGCTGGAGTGCAAAGGCGTGATCTCAGCTCACTGCAATGCCTCCCGGGTTCAAGAGATTCTCCTACCACAGCCTCCTGAGTAGCTGGGATTACAGGCATGCGCCACCATGCCTGGCTAATTTTGTATTTTTAATAGACACGAGGTTTCTCCATGTTGGTCAGGCTG